TGGAATTCCCAGTTAACCTCAGAGCCCAGTTATGGCTTCACCGGCCTTCACCTGTTTCTTGGGGTTCTTTGCAGTATCACTGCCGCAGAACTGATCGATGTGTTTGGGTTCATCAATCATGAAGGAAGCTCTTACACACGCCCCAGCCTCTTGCCGGATTCTGGCGACAGACATACGTCACCTGTGGCCGGCCAACTAGGAAGGGCTGTGATTGAGCTCAGAGAGGGCGTCTTCAGCCCTTCACCCCCCACCCTGTCCTGATGCTGGTTCTTCTTCCCACATTACACCTCAGGAACCATCCCGCTGCCCAGCCACCCCTGGGTCCAGTGTGGCCATCTGCTTTCCACTTACGCTGCCGTGTCTGTCTCTGCTCCTCCCACTCCCAGGACACAATCTGCCTCTCTCATTTCTCTCCAGCTTCCCCAGCCTAGAAGGCGCCCTCTTCTGGCTCGTCCTCACATCCACTCCGCAAGTGTTGGGCAGCCCTGGACGCCTGTTGGGACTCCACCCCGAGCCACCCAGAGCCACTCGCCACGTGCTCGTCCCTTTCCTAGTGCTATGTACGTTGTTTGGGGCTGCTATGTGGTAGGCAGATGGCCCTGGGTTCAAATCCTGACCGACCTGTGATCTTGGGCCAGTCATTTATTCTCATGTGTGCAGCCTCTGCTCCGGCCACTGCTGTCCTCAAATATCTGAATGCATAGCCCCCTCCTGGAACGGAGTCACACCTCAGAGTCCTAGACAGACTCCAAGGTGGCAGCCGACAGCCAGCCAGCTGCGCCAGCCCGGTGCCCCGGTCACCAGACGGCCCAGCCACCAAGCAGACGCCCCGCGAGATGGCGAGAGCCCACGTCTCCACCCTGAAGCAGCACCCGCGTATCTGCCGGGAACAGGCCTCCCGGGAGGACATTTCCCACATGCTCTGGGTCCCGTGGACTCCAACAGGGGTCAGTGACAAAAACCACTCGAAACGTAGTCTTTAAACTAGAATTTATTGGTGTACAAAACTCCATTTCATAGATAAAGTGGCACATCTTTGCAGCTTCTATTGCACCAAGTATTGAAGATTAAAAACACACAAAAAAGAAACATTTAGTTTTGAAAACACTGCAAGTAGCCAAGTACAGTACTTTGGTAAATAAAAACTAACATGGTTTCAACGAACACAATCTGAGGAAAGAGCGCAGAGGAAACGAGCTGTGGACATGAGACAGGGCCCCATCTCTCCCCCCGTCTCCCCAGCTAGGGCAGACTCAGAGTCTGGGGCGGCCTCACCCCCTCCAGACCGAAGCCAGACAAGCACAGCGTGAGGACAGAGGTCCCGGGCCTGCGCACGCCGTGCCTGCGCTGGCGCCGGCAGCACTTCCGCATCAGCCGGGGCGCGGCGGGGCTGAAGCCGGCTCTGGCTCTGCCTCCGGCGGAGCCCAGTGCTGGCGAGGGGTGCTGGAGGGTCGCAGGGAGCCGGGCCCTTCCCAGGAAGGAAGGGGAAGGCGTGAGGTGCCCCACCCAGCACCCTCACGTTTGGATGAGGGACCGGCCTGGGGACCAAACGCAGGCCAGGGTCTGAGGCGGGTTGCCAACGATTGTCACGACAGCGGCGGCACAGACCTGCTGACAGGGGCACGCGAGGGCTAGAGGCGGACCAGATGACAGAGACCAGAACTGCCATGGCGCCAGCACAGCGCACGGCGTCTGTGCCCGGGACGGCCCGCTCGGTCTCCGCCACGAGTCCACCTGGTACGGAACCCCAGCCATTGCTGTGCCCGCCCCTTCTCGCCTTGCAAGGCTGCTACAGTGGGCTGGAGAAAGAAACTAGCCAAGCTCCTTAGAAGAAAAGGTCAGGAGCCAGAAGCGCTTCCAAGGAACTCAGAAAGGACAGCCCGGGCAGGCCGCCCACCAGGCCGCAAGCTGCCCGCGGCAGGCTGCGGCGCATCGCTGGGCCCACACAGACACGCACGGGAGCTCTGCGCCCCGCCCCCGCCCCCTCAGCGTGAGGGGCGAACGGCTAGGGTTTAAATGTGCCATCTAGATCTTCCACTCAACCATGCCAGAGAAAAAACACAATTTGCTTTCGAGTCAGGGAAACACGCATCACGAAGCGCCATTATGAAACCACCTTGGCAAACGCACCAAGGCCATGGTGACACAACGCCTGTCCGGAAAGCTGACGGATGCGGGGGGATGAGGGGAATGGCGAGACAGACACGCGTCAGACTGAGTCTAGAGGTTTGCTGCAGAGACAGAGCTTGAGGTAAAAAGGTAGAGAGCCACGCATCCACCCGAATGGGCATTGCGGGCCACAGCGAGCACGCTGAACACCCAGGGGCTCCCTTCTCGCCACCCGCCAAGGCCCTGTGGGTCAGGGTGACGCTTAGTCAACTTTGAACTTGGAATCCAAGTGTCCTTGACTGAATTTTCAAGTTGAATGTCTCTACATTGACCTAGTAAAACCCAGGCCACGTCGACAGAAGTTCCCAGAATGAGAGAAACTACACACTGACCACAGGACGCCCTGCAAGTGCAGCCCCAAGCCGAAGCCCGCCGGCCTCTGCATGCCAGATACATGGACAGCTTCCCCCACGAACCCTGGGCTGCCCCTGCCCCGGGACAGCTTCACTCACCTGGTGAAGGTCCCCCAGAAACGCCAGGCATTACCCACAGTCTCCCTCCTGCTACCCCCGCTCCAGCCGCCCCAGGGGAGACCCCACCTCTTAGCCCTCAATCAAAATGGGTTTAGGAGTGTTTTCAGAACTTACAAAAGAAACTATAGACAACTTCAATAAACATTTAAGATTCTTCTTTTAGCCACAATTCCTCAACCAGACTTTGCTCCTGAAGGTACATGTTCAAATTACTGAAAAGTTAAATACACACACATTCTGTCTCTGCAGCGTCTCCCGGTGGCAACCGTAGTATTTAGAAGTTGTGCTTCTATGTTATTTAGTACATCTACCTCTCCAGTACAAAGCTGTTGCCACAAATATTTTATTTACTTTGACATTTAAAAAGTCTTTTTTTTAAGTCCCTAAACCTTTATATAGTTTTAAGACTAATGAGTAGCTCTGACCACTGCCCACCTCCTCTCTCCCGGTCTCACCACAGCTACTGGGATATTCCCACGTCACACACTTGTAACAATGAGATGCAGCAGCGGTGAGGAAGACCCACTTCCCAGCACGCCCACAGACAGGTCAGCCTGGACCAGACACGGCCCCCAGGAACTGCAGGTGCCAGCAGGCACGGAGCGTGTGGGCCCTACCTACCTCACACTGTAAAGGCGACACTTAAACCCTTAGCCGGAAGACACTAAAGTCGGCGACATCTACTCTAGTCCTAGTAATTAACGTACTCAACACAGAACAGTTATAACTGGAAAACTGAAGTGGCAATAAAAGAAAATTACAGAAGCCACTGGATTAGTTTTAGAGCCATTGCTACTACACCCCAGAAATGTGAAGCCTATTAAAAGAATTAGGGAATTTGTAAATAAATGTGCCCAATATTCTTTAACGACTTTTCAGCAGCTCCAAAAACTTCTAAAACCCGAGAGACCCAGGGTCGACGCCATTAGCCAAGTAAAGCAGCTGCACTACTCCCGCCTTGGCAAAGGTCTCCCCGCCTTAGCCCTTCATCCCAGAATTTGTGACACACAAAACTGACCTTTCTGAGAGCAGGTTTCCTGTGCTTTCACAGGAAAAAAGACAAGGAAGAAATTCATTGGAAAAGCTCAGTCTCGGTCAGGGATCTGCCCAGAGCTGGAAACCAGGAGCGCAGTGGCCAAGCCCTGGCCCTCAGACCCTTCCCGGTGGACTGAGGGCGGGAGTCACAACGTCAGGGGTCCCCAGAGCACGAAGACACGCGGTGCAGCCTCTACGTCCACTAATGTTACAATGCGGTGAAGCAGGAAGAGGCCCAAGCTGCAGCATCCGGTAACAGCTCCAAGACCACTGATTCTCCAACCACAACAAAGTCACGGGAGTGGACAAACCAAAGTAAAACACGACGTTAACACCGGACAAAGCAAACTGCCTACGGATAATGGATGAAGCCAGGGCCAGCCAAGATAATCACGACGTCAAAACGGTCCTACAGTTTTCCCTTCACCTCTGAACTCTAGTTCTGAAATGCGGCAGGATGGTTGCTAGGAAGTTACCTTTTGATTCAGCATCTACTGTTTGCCCAAATACAGGTTCCCAAAGGCCACGCCAAACAGGAGTGAGCGCCTCACACATTCGCGTGCTGGAGTTCACGCCCACCCGGCCCCCGCTAGGAGAGCGAGCTCCAGTCAGGGCATCATCTGAGGCCTCGGCCGAAGGGTGTTCTCACCCTTCAGGTCTAAGCCACAACTTCTGGAGGATGCCGGGGAGCTTTTCCAACATCAAAATCCCAAACAGGGCTGAAATAAAAGTAAACACATCATTTTATGGGATTCCATTTCGCAATACTAAATTTAGTGATCGGTGAAGTTTCCTTTTAGTTCTCTTGATGGCGTCTTTCTAAGTCTAGAAGAGCTGGAAAGAAAATTCAGCTACTTAATCTGTGAACATGAGAAACCCAGACACTCTAGACAGCCTCTCCCCACGAGATGAAGTAACTCTTCAGACCTCGTAGGCAAACTCGGGGCGCCTCGGGTGGGCGCGTCCTGCCCCGTGCCCGCAGCCCTGCAGGCCTGCGTGAGGACGGGCACGGGGCAGGCCGGCGCCCGCCGCACTGTCAGCGCGCCGTGAGGCCAGCGCGCGGTCGCCGGACCAGCAGGGCCTGCGGCCCCAGCGCAGCGTCCGGCGGGAGGAGGGAAGACAGCGCCTCACTCCCACCCGCCTGCGGGCCACAGCCCCGGGCCGCGTTACTCTGGGAAACGCTTCCTGAATTACTTTCTGATGAACTCGGAGTGGAAAAAAATGAAATCTAAACATGTTCCTGAGCTGGAGATCATTTATAAACTGCCCTGTCTACTAACGTCTGTTTGAAGGTGAAAGAAAAACAAAGGAAATTCGTTATCATGAATTTCTGACGTCTAAACTACTTTATGAACAATTACAGTGACATTCACTCTGGGTGTTAAGATCCCAAGATCACTGAACTCTGATTTTCAGGGCAAATAAAACGGTCCTTAAAGGCTTTTCCTGCCTCACCATCCACCCCTAAAGCCTGGTATTCTAACCACAGAACAGGAATGGCTTCACTGTACTTTCATAAAACAAACGCATCGCTAACAAAACTCTGAACAAAAAAGAGGCAGTCTGAAGGAAACTCCGCTGCCAGTTCATGCGGATCACGGGCTGTTGGTGTGTGAAAGGACAGCCTCCCTGGGAAGCCTGGTACACAGTCTCCATTTTCCATTTGCCTCTTATAACTCCCAGAGGCCAGTCAGATGTTGAGAGCAGCAAAGGTCTTCACCAAGGTGACCTGCGCGTTCGCCTCGGCCTCGCCCCTGTTACTGTCCCTGTGGCCGCCCCTGCTCTCCAGGGCTTTGTGGCGGTGCCTCTCCTCCTGCCGCTTCTTCTTCTCCAGTCGCTGCTGCTCTCTCCTCTGTTTGTTCGTGACCTGAAAGAGGAAACTTCTGGGTGAGCTGCCCAGGGCCGACTCAGGCTGCTGCCTGCTGCAGGGGCAGGTGGGGCTGACAGAGGCAGAGGGGAGGGTGCCGGCTGCCTCTCCACACAGCCAGAAAGCCCGCCTCGCAGACCAAAAGGGGTTGCTTTTCCATTACTACGCAAGTTAACAATTAAGTTTACACCCCCTGCTGAGTCAGGACAGTATCAACTCCATCCTCCCCATAAACCAATCCAAACTAACCAAGAGACAGGTCGCCCCAGTGTACGGGAGCTGGCGCTCCGACGTGCCACAGGACACTGTCCCCTACATGGCCAAATGCCCCAGGTGAGCTAAGCTGCCCTCAGAGTTTACTGTGGCTTCTGACATTATGGTGCACTTGAGCTCAGAACTTCTTGGCGAGTCTTTCAAAATAAATTTCAAATTCAACTAAATGAATGGTGCCATACACAACTGTGGGCATGAGGCAGGGAGTGGGGGTAAGGAAACTACACCCTTCTAGGGAAGCACCTGAAAATCACCAAGAAGTCTTTAATACGCAAATACCCATGCCTTTTGACCTATCAATTCCTCTTCTGGGACCCTCGCCAAGAAAACAATGCCAGTGTGAGCGCATAAAACCCAGGACTGATGGCTGAGTTGACAGGGAAGACGCCGCACACAGTGCTGACTGACGAGGCTACACTCACACGCGGGCTCAGGGCTGGTGTGCGCGTCCTCCAGTCACGCCCATGCACCAAACAGAAGGAGCCATGTCTTCATTCTACTTCCTCCCATTTTCTACAACTGTGTTTACTGATCAAAAGAAAATTACACATCGGACAAGCCCATGCCCCACCGCTGCCACCAATCCCAGCCGCTCACCGCTGTACCCTCAAGCCCACCTTTCATACCTTCGGGAGATGGTTTTTATTTGCTTTGTTTTCTTCACCAGGGCTGGCCCGGGACTTATTGTTTTCTGTCCTGCCTTCATTCAGGCCCTGAGTTCCAAAGATCCTGGCGCCACTGCCACCCTCCTCCCATAAAGCACCACAATGCTTCGTCAATCGGCCACTGGGCTCAAGGTTCTCATCTGTATCTTCAAAAAAAGACATTTTATTACTAAGAACTTAAGATAATTCCACACTGTGGTTAATGCTACAGGAGTCCAAAATTACCTGGGTCCCTAGAGCACTCTCATTTGGAAAGCAAGTTTCCTTGAGGCAAAATTATATCAAGTAAATACAAGGGGCAACAGGAAAAAAATAACTGGTAAAACTTAGAATTAAAATTTTAAAACCCTTCTTAGCCAGACTTATGGTCAGCATCACACCAGCACAGTATTTTATTAGATAAACTACTTTTCAACATGAATTTTTAGGGAGAAATCTTTCATTTGCACCCACAAACCAGAAACAGGCTCAAAAGCTGTCTCGCCCTGGGCCCTCCCTGGTGGCGCAGCGGGTTAAAGCATAGCACTAAGAAGCTAAAGCCACTTCCACATGAGTTTGATTCCCGCCTGCCCCGGAGGTGACCACATGGCGCGGCAGACCTCTCCTGACCCGCCCGCTGCTCCCCTCAGCAGTGTACTTCGTCGATCTGCCTGTTCTGCTCCCTGCTCTGTCTCTGGTGAAGCCTCTCACCCTCCGCATCTCTGGCCTGTACCCCAGGTATGTATGCACAAATAAATAAATCTTAAAAAAAAAAAAAAAAAAAGCTGTCTTGCCCATAGAGTAGCCACAAGGCACAGGCGGCCAGTTAAAATCAAGTAAGATTTCCAGTCCGGTCCCTCAGTCCTGCCGAGCTCATGTCAAGGCCTGCACAGGCCTGCAGAGCGCCTATCTAAAGTCACAAAGACCATGTGACTTACAGCTTTCTGAACAGGCACAGCACGTACATAAAGAGCAATAAAATGCCCAATCACCTGGAAAACTAGCCCAGAGTGGTAGCTGGGACATAACAGCTCGCCATCATCACTGAAATCACTAACACATGAGGGAGGAGACAGTCTGCCTCACTTGATTAAAAATAAATAATTGAAAATAGCAAAAATGAAGACTCACTGACAAATACTTCTGAAAGTTTGTAAGTATCATCCATGAACTTACTATTTCTTTTTCCCTGGTTCAGCTGCAGCATGGCAAGTATTGCAGACTCTATATTGTAGTTTTCAGCTTCCAGGTTCTGGATGATCAAATTAAAATCCTATCCAAAACACACAAACAATTCAAGACTCTTGGGGACACTTTTGTACCTATCGCTACTTCGACAATTTAAAGGGGAAAAAAAAGAGAAGAGAAACAAGATTTCAAGAGCTTCTCCTTTTAGAAAATGTCCTCATTTTCAATAATGTTGGTCACCTGAAATAACCATTTAATAAAAATGAATTGTATTTATTAAAATGCAATTTTACTAGTGTAAATACCAATCAGAATAAATAAGTCCACTTACTACCTTAGGGTTTTGAACAGTCCTGGGTAAAATTTAGTAAAACAAAACACGGACATGCACCAACAGCTCTCGCTGTCTGTCACGCAACCTGATCAAGCCCCAAATGCCATGGGCCTCGCTCGGCCCCGCAGGTGTGAGCACGCCGGAGGGCCCCGTGGAAGCAGCCGGTGACCCAGCATGAGGGCGCCTGTCCCTGAGTCCTCGTTACCACACGAGGGGGTACTGACCGAACAGCCGGTGGCATTGCAGACTTTCTGGACGGCATCTTCCACTTCATCTCTCAGGTCATCTTCAAAGTCCACTCCCTTTGTCTTGATCTTCTCTCTTTTATTTGATTCATCCTGATGAAGTATCTGAAACTAAATGATAGAGTAATAAGAAATTTTTCACAGAAGTCAAGAAACTATGTTCAGAATCGTCAACACTTTCAGGCAATGGCAAACATTAGGGTAAATCCCACCCAGACTCGGAGTTCCAGGCCACAAAAGAAACATTCCAAAGAAAGGCCCCGAGCTGGTGAGCCGTTCAGGAAGAATGGCTTAGACACCAACGCTTGGGCAGTGGCTGCTGATCTGAACAGCACCCTCACGTCCAGTCAGCTGTCAGAGCGGACAGACACTCTGCCAGCAGCTGCTGGTTTCTGCCCAGGGCACACTGGCTCCTGCAGGCTCACTCACGTCCGTCCGCAGGTGCGCTGGGGCCTCCGAGTTGTCGTTGATCCTGCGCACGCTGTCATAGTGCTCTCCACATCGATACGCAATGTGCAGCTCCCGCACGTTGCTTTTATCTGTGCCACGAATCTGCAGGGGAAAAGGGCAGATGCCCATGAGGATCTGGGTGGTGCCAACTTCTGAGCGAAATGCCACCTGGACTGCCCACGAAGCCCAGTCAACAGTTGGGAATCTGACAGGGATAGAGCAACTTCTGAATCCTCTCTCTCCCATATGTATGCCTCGGGGTGCCTAATATGTAAGTACATGAAACAAAGCCATGAGGAAACATTCCCAAGCCAGGAGCATGTTTCCAATGAAGTTCAATAAGCCTAAGTTTCATGGGCCTGGGCACCGCTCAGCCCTCAAATGCACAGGCCCTTTCCAAGAGGGAAGGCCCAGAGAGAGGCAGACTCGCTGATCTTAAAGCTCAAACTAGTTGGGCTCCCTCTTTGAGAAAAAAATTATAATTACAAATATAAATCTCTTAAGACCTTGAAGGGTAGGGGGAGGCCACAAAGAACGGTTCTGACATGCTTCATTAGCTTCACAGGAAAGCCACCCATCACTGAAACAAAAATTGCTTTTTCCATCCACCACATACTACACAACAGGCTCAAATTTCCCTCAAGGTAGAATTACTTACAGTGAAGCAGTATGACCTGCGTGACCCTGGAGGCGCCACTCACACTGTTGGAGCACAGCCCAGAGTCAGGCAGGCAGAGCCCTGAGGCCTGGTCTGTGTGTATCCCCAGGAAACGCCACGCACACAAAACTGCTACAGCCATTCTGGATGTGTCCCCTAGAAAGCCCAGGAGCCATCCTTCTGCTAGAACTTCCCTTCTTGTTTTTAATGAAGCACACACAAGAAGACTCTTCATTTAAACATTTGTGGTCAAAAGACAAAGCAGAAACCACGAAATAAACAGGTACCACACAGGACTAGACACAGAAGTGTGGCCATTTCTCAAGGAGGCTACAGATGTCTCGAGTGCAGAAGTGTACTTTTAACACACACAAAAATAGAGGCAGCACCACTCAGCCCCAGCAAGACCACCAGGAAGCCAGTTGGTTACAATCTTTGGATATTTAAACACTACCACTACCATGTTCAAATTTCCAGATGGAAAAAAGAACTGAAAAAGCAGCCACCAAGTTGTGAACCATGACGTTCGCTAACTTTCCACACCGCTTCCCGTCCTGCCGTGTCTGTGTTTTCACAGGAGCATATATTCATTCCACTTGGAAGAAGGGAAAAATGAGGCTTCAGTATCTTCATGTCGTTAAAATAAACCTACTCATTATTAAAGCAAAAACTCTTACCCATCACAGTAAAAAACAACAGTTTCAATTCTTAAATCTTGTAATATGCTTCATGAGGTGGGAGGAGATAGGTTAGACCCAACAGCTAGGTCAGCAAAGATGGCTAACCAGCAACGATACTCAACATTCTCAATGTCCAGGAACCCATGAAAGAAATGTATTTGAAAAAAATAAATTCTATCTAAGCAGAATTGGCTTCCACAACTCCCTAGATGTTGAAGAAACTTACAAAAGTTATCCTCACTAGTGGAAAGGCAAGCTCTGGCTCCCAGCTTGGCACTCCTTTCCTTCAGGATAGGGTCATTGTACTATGTACTCAAATGATTGGTGACTTCTGCTAAGCTAAAATGTAATGATGAAAAGCAAGACAACAAAGAGGTAACCACAGTCTCGGCTGTGGGACCACCCTTAGAGCCTCATTAAAAGTATGCCAGCTTACCCTGGTGCAGGGGCACCGGACTGGACCACCCGACCACCCTGCCCAAAGAACACACACAGATACTGTTCCCCCCTCAGTGTACCCCTCCCTGTGAGGTCAAATTCCTCACTCACCCCGGAGTATCTAATTTATGTAGCTAGTGTCATTCTGTTAAAAGGATATTATGCAGGCACAAAAGCCTGTATACTTCCAGTCACATGACATTCTGGAGAGGCAGAACTAGAGAGACAGGTAAGGGCTACAAGAGGCTGGGGGTGCAGAGCCGGCAGTGACGGCAGGGCCTGAGGACGCCTGGGGGAGTGGCGCTGTTTCACGCCAGCAGGTGGCGCTGGCTCGACTATGCTGACATGCCCAGAACCGCAAGCCTGAAGAGGGAACACTTGCTAGGCGTGAATCACAGCTGTTTTAATGAACAAAAGCTAAGAATAAGCAACTTATGCAGGGATATAGCTGGTATAGGAAAAAAGCCACTGCTGCCTTTGTACAATATATAAGACTACGTGTGTGCGTCTATACAAATGTCCAGTTTACGTGTATGGAAATGTGCTTCAAACATGTGTGAAGACTTTGTGACGCGTTTCTTTTTCATTATAGATGAATGTTTTATAGCTGATCATCTGCATGACAGGGACACACAATAAAATACTAACAATCACCATTTCTGGGGAATGTGACTCTGGTGACTTGCATTTGCCTTTATGGGCTTTTCTAAATTTTCAAATTTTTTTAATTAACATGTTTACCTTCCTAACTTAAAAAAAGAAAATCACAGGCCCAGTCTTCAGGGGTTGAGACAAGGTGACAAGAATGCAGGAGGAGAGGGAGGAAGGTCACGGTCACCTGTATCACTTATTTACACCCGACTCTTGGCCCGCCATACCCTGAACACCTGGCTGATGGACTGCTAGTAAGACTGGGCTGATTTAGGACCAAAGGTAGAGACGGGGGGGGGAAACAGCAGAATGGACAGCTACTTCCCAACGGGAGGTGGGGAAGCCACAGGCCACTGTGCTCTGCCGCTCTACAGCACACTGACTAGCGTGGCCTCTGCTGCAGCAAACCCACTGCAGTTGGTACAGACACCTCCGCAGCGCACAGCTAGGGAACCTCCACTAGACTATGAAAGAGTCCATGGTGCTGAGAACACGCTTTTTAGTAATGGCTGTTAGAGTGAACTTGGTCTTGTTTCCCTTCACCTAAAAAACACAAGCACCCCCACAGGAACAGGCACTCTTCAGACTGAAGTTGCATGCACCGCTCCTTTACACGCTCACTTAAGACACTTTACAGTTATCTACAGAATTCCTACATTTCACTCTCTGCTGTCAAATGACCGACATACTAACTGGCATTTCTGAGGTTTCTGAATTACACTTCAGACCTCGGTTGTGCACAGCAGCACAGCAGGCTTTAATTCCAAGCCAACACAGCTACCTAAAAGTACCTTTAGGAAGTCTGGAAATCCAGGTTACCCCACAGAGTTCAACCACGCAGGTCAAGCCCGATCATTTTAAGACATCCCCAAGGCTAATTTTTAAATAAGAGCCTAAGATAAATCCTCCAGTAGGTGACGTACCTGCCACAAAGGGGCATTAAGTTGATGAATCACCACATTCAATTGATGATTTCTTGCAAAGGCTACAATTGCATCATTGCCAGCAAATGTACCAGACTTTGCCAAACTGGCCACTGCATGAAAATAGGAGAGAAAGAAAAATAAAGTCTTTAGGACAAAAAAATCTAAATGCAAAAGAGCTTTGGCATTTATCTAGTTCCAAATAATGAGAAACAGAATGTACATCTGAAAGTCCATTAGCTTTTGCCAGAGTTCAGGAGTTTAGCTGGTTGAATGGAGACTGCTACTCGACAGACACTAATCATTTCTAAGGAAAGGATTCATTTATTGCTTCAATAAATATTTTCTGAATGCTTCCCTATGACTGACTCTACCACACACTGGGACTAGAACAATAACCACAGTAAGCATAACGGTTTGCATGAGTGGCCAAGCACTGTTCGACTGGCACCCAAGTGAGCACGTTTAATCTGTAAGCCACCCCGCTAAGAGGTGTTATCACGAACACCAGTGCAGGAAGAGACCAGGCATGGAGCAGCTCATGACTGTGCCCAAGGTCACTGCACCAGTGCACAGCTGGGACTTCACTCCACACAGGCCATTCCACCACACAGCCAGCCACAGGAGTTTGCAACTAGTGCTGAGCAAACAAAAAGAAAAAATATTATATGTACATACAAGCTACAGGAAAGGGCTATGGACAAAGGAATCTGGCCTTGTCCAGAGGAGGCCGGCTTTTGTCAATGGTGCTGGGAGGTCACCTCTAAAGCTTCGGATCTCCTTAGAGACAGGAGTTAATCCCAGTAGGCTCCTCAGCCACCCACACCTGAGCGCTTATGCTGAAGAGGTGACTCACTGTAGACCTCTGTGGCCAGTGATGTCAGACAGACCTGGGAGCTGGAAACTGGGCCTAACCCCTTAGGTACTCAATCAGTAACACCTACATGATGAAGTGCCAAGTAACAATTCTAGACACTGAAGATCAGGCGAGCTTCCCTGATTAACATTCTCTTCACACGGTATGTGACCTTCCGTTTGGCTCATTTCGATGTGTGGTCTTTCCCTGTAATAAATTATAACTGAGTATAACAGCCTTCCGTGAGTTCTGAGTCCTAGCAAATTATCAAACCTGTCAGGGGCTTGGGAAAAACCCAAATTTGCAGTTGGTGCCAGGAGTGAGGGAAGTGCAAGACTGCAAGTGGCAAGCAGAGAGTCTGGTCGAGTGGAGGGTGGGTGAAGCGCACCAAGAAAGCTTTCAGCGGGGATAACTACACTACTCCCACAGGATACAGGGGACAGGCAAGCGAACGGGTGATGTTCTGTGAGAAAGAGACAAGCTTGTGGCATGACAGGCACTGAGAATGCCGAGACGGTAGCGTAATTAGATGCAGTGGGAAATGGCAAGAGACAAGGGCAGAGGAAAGAAAAATTGCAGATCACGCAGAGGATGAGAGTCCAGATTTTAGCCTCAGGTAAATGGGGAGCTACCACCAGGCTTTGGCGAAGAGGAAGACACAGTAACTGTGTAGTGTGAAAACTAGACTGAAGGATAGAGAGGCAGAGAGACCAGCCCAGGGAGCACTGAAGTCTGGGCAGACCGCCACAAAGGCTCAATTGTACATGGTGGTGCAGTGAGGAAAAAATAAAGACTGAGGGAGAAGTCACAAGGCTTAATGAATACCTGAGAATTGAGCAGAGAGGGAGAGGAAGCCCAGAGAATATTCAAGTTTCTGATTTACACAATTACCAGCTGTATTTGTACAACCAGGGGAATGAGACCACCAGTCCCCAAAGCCACACAGTCCACAGGAAAAGAGTAATTCTAAGACAGTGAGAGGCCAGGGAAACTGAGGACTGCAGAGTTAAGTGCGTTCGTTTATTCATTCCAAATTATCCTATGAGCACCTGCCACGGGCCAGGCTGTTCAAACACAGACCCCACCCTCAAGAACCCCATAGTGTAGCTCGGTGGGCTGGCACTGGAGACATGTAACTGTGCTGAGAGGAGTTAAATTTAGTCTTCAAATGACATTCGGTTTCTTCATTTCCTCTACTGCAGTCGGAGCCACTTTCCACTTCTTTAATGCGCCAATTCTTAGGGTGCGCTACTCAACCATGAAGCACACAGGGACATATCAAGGAAACACTTTCCTTTCTGTATCAATAGTAACTACCACACTAGAAGCTGACAGTCTGATTTTCTTGTCCTACCACACCCCCAAATCTACCACACATGACCTTCACTGAAGATTTTCAAAGTAGAATTTCAAGTGACAAACTAAAAACTTATTTCATCCAAAATGATTATTTTAATTGCATAAACAGCACCATTTATTTAACTTCACACTGTGTCCAACTACATATGAAACCTGTAAGCCGCTGGCCACCTGGTAAACCACCCACTAGATGAAAAGTGACTCAGGCACCTGCAACATGAGAACTCAGGAGAGTACGAACTACTCACCTGGAGGCAAACTGGCTTCCATGTCCCTCTTACTCCCGTCACCTCAGAACGAGTTCTGATCAAGTAAGGAATGAGAAAGGCTCTAGGCTCTCTGACAGCTTCCTTCTCACTACCAGTACGGCCACCTCACCCTTCCCCGAGCAGACATTTTGAATCACCTGCCTCCTCTCTTCCCCTCGTCCCCTCTCCAATGAGTCTTGGCAATAACAGTACCAGATGTACCTCAGCCTGGACCCTCCTCATGATTCCCACTAGGATGATGGAGACCCACTCATTCTTTCCCTGGGCTATATGGAGAGTCTTCTAACTCCTCTCCCTTGGCAGTCTCTCCCCTCAGCCATTCTCAACACAGATTTTGGTGAGCTCTCTCATATCCAGAAATGACTCCTTCCTGATCAGAACAGATAAGACTGAGAACTCCGTGATAAAAATGTTATTTGTAAAATAGAAATATATCAGCACCTAGCATAGCACCTTTTTTAAACTATTCATTCTCTTACCATTTTTTTTCAAAAAAAAAAAACCTGCTTTATCCACATTTATTTTCTTTCATAGTTTTAAAACACTGTTACTGAATTAAAGGACCATGGATTTTTGCCCCCTCACTCACACTTTTTTGCTTGTTCGTTTTTATAGAAGCAAAAGCTATTTTCATAAGATTTAGAGGGGTGTGTGGTAGGGGAAAGAGAGTATCTGTCAAAATTAAGTTTAAAAGCTCATACAAATTTCTGACTAGACTTAAGCCTATAAAAATTTTTAATTAAAAAAACTAACTAAAAAACAAACTAAAATCACTACTTGACCTGGCTCAAAGAAAAGATGCTGTGTATGGTTTTCATTGATAATCAAAACAACTTTACTGTTTTTTTCTAATTATAAAGTAATACTAATTATAAAGTAATTATCCTTTAAAATTCGGCAAAATCTATAAAGGATAACTTAAAATACTGATAATGATGTCATCCCCCATAAGGCTGGTACTTATTAAGAACTTATTTTAATGGTATTTTCTAATTTAATCTATTCCAAACACCCCATAGATTAGGTGCTATTATCTCCCCTTTATAGAAGTTGAGAGTGAGTTCTGAGTAATAAAATGGAGTCAGAAATTAGCAACCATAAAATCCTAGTATCTCTCCAGACTTTTCTAGTGTTTCTGTTGTATATACCTTTGAAAAATGGGAGCTACACAGCTATTTTATAGCCGGCTTGCCCCCCAGTGAACAAGGAGTGCCAAGTAGCTTTTCATGACTTGTCATTTTATTAAAGACATATGCATCTAAAACTATTAATTCCCAACTGCCTAGCACAAAACCAACATCCAGCAGGCAAATAAACGGTGAGCAAATGGAGGACAAATTTATAGACCCCAGCCCCTGGCTGGGGGGGTGGGAGGTGCTGACAGGTTTGATTACCCGACACATTACTCTTGGGGGACCGGCGGTGAACCTACCGTGTTTCTCAAAAGGAATGTCATCTTCTACAAAGGGCTCAAAATCTTCCCGCTGCTTTATCATGTAGTCCACTGTCTCTTGCCGGTGTTTGAGATGATTTCGTGAGTGTCCCTCCAACTGATCACCGAGAGCTCTGAACAGGCAATTGCTATCAAAACAAAACTGTTGGTCAAGACCCTTTAAAGATTGACTTAGTTCATCTAAAACAATGATGTTTCACGGTAGACCATCCGCAGAAATCTTTCACGTGCAGAAGAGAGAAAGCCTGAGCTTCGCTAGTGCAGGCTTCTTCCCAGATGCTGGGCTAGAGCTGAAGGGCACATTCAATGACAAACACGGAGTCTCGCCCCCCTGAACACTGGCTGACTCAGGAAAGACACTTAAACTCCCAAGTGACGGTGCTGCCTACTAACTGCCCTACAGACAGGGTCCAGACGGCAGTGTTACAGTCCTCCTCACCAAGGGGATGTGGGCAAATCGCATCTACTATCTCACTTCTGAAACAAGCTTGCCACAGCTGCCCCCTAACTAATCATTCATCTAACAAAAACCCCCAAAAGATACCATTTTGTCACGCTCCCAGTACAAACAACTAAGCACAACACAGTAGAGAAAACCACGAAAGGGGCGCACAGACCACACCAGCAGTGCGTGCACACGGGGGCACACACTCCCCGTCACGGCGCCATGGCGCCGCTGTCGTCCTGCAGATTAAAAACCGGAGACACCGTTTCTGTCATTTCTAAAACTAAAATGCTGGTCATAAACCTGAAGAGCTATCTTTACTGCCAAGCCTGCAGACTTCGAAAAGCCCAAGCTATATCACAAACACAGAGCCCTCACACAAAGATTAAAATACTACAAACACAATCCGGTGCCTTGAAAAACAAAGAAACAAGCCATTCTGGTCACACAGAAGCCCAGTTTCAAACCAACTGTTTCCTTTTCCAAATGAAAATCTATGGTATTCTAATTCCAGAAAAACTCACCACTTTGGGAAGAACTTTGTATCTACATATACAAACAGTGTTCTCAGTTTTTCAGCTCAGAAAAGTGAAATTTCAATAGAAAAAGGGGCAAAAAAAAAATCCCTTCAATCACATAAAGGTTTTTTTTGTTTTTTGGGTTTGTTTGTTTGTTTTTGATGAGGGGAGGGAGACTTTAGAAAGGACAGATTCTGTACGTTAAAAAACAAATTTACATCAAACTCGGGCAAGAAAACACCAAGACCACCCTGTGCCAGAGACAGTTCTAAGTTTGTATGTAGGTATTAAATGTGTTTAGTGCTCACAAATTTTTGAAACAGGTACCACCAGAATCCCCCTCGGAAAACTCACCCAAGGTCCTAAAACCAGCAGGTGATGGACCCAGGCGTCAAACCTAGCCACCAAGATGTTAGTTCTTTAATGGGATTTTGTTAGCCCGGGGTGACGGGATTAGGAGTAATGGTTAAACTTATTTTAGTATATTTTTTTGCATTTACCAAACTGTTCTTGAGCTCACTACAAATAAGTATTCGGAAAACAAGTCAAGATAGACAAATCACTTCCTTTTCTGAGTTTCAAGGTAGTGACGCAGGAAATGTAAAGAAACAGAGCCAGCCTGGGTCCCCTCAGGGAGTCCAGCAGCAGCGGGAAGAACACCCTGGAGAGCACAGCCGGAGCCCAGAGGATTCCAGGAGCTCCGGCTGTTTCCCAAACCCGAGACCTCATCCGTTACACTTGCAGGGCTTCGCGACCCCACACCGACATCGGGGAGAACTCTGTTCAGGAATTGTCCTGTGCCCTGCAGGTACTGGGGCATCCTCAGCTCCACGCAGTAGTTGCCAGCTTCACCACCACCGCCTTCTTCCACCTCAGTTGTGACAACCCACTGAAAATGTCTCCAGACATTGTCAAAGGTCCCCCAGGGAAGCAAGATCATATCCACTTGCGAATCACTGCACTACAGGGATACAGGTAAGGTCCTGCATTTGAGTTCACAAAAACAACCAATTAGGTGAGCAGTATGAAAAGGTCTGGGGTGTTCCATCATTTACTCTGAGAAAATACTGATGGAGACATCACAAAAGTTATGGGTTCCTAGGGTGCAGCAATAATAAATATGCAGAAAGGGGGGCAGGTTCTTGAGGTCAGGTCCTGGCAAGGGCCCCATGTTATTCTGGCCACTACATTTTGGCGACACCCTCAGAGGAGGTGTGGCTCTAAACTACACAGCATGAAGAGCACAGTGACTTCAGCCTAAATGAGGCTCAAGCTTCCAACTGTAGTCGGTGAGGAGGTTATACTTGTAAATAAAACTGAAATGAAAACATGGGAGCTACAGAAACAGATGTTAACGGAAAGAAAAAACGGAAATTTCATTTTGGTTCTATGGAGACTGACCATATAAACTCAAGATTCCTGTGAATTCCTGTCTATAAGCAGTCCTCAGGAACTGTCTGTATTTGTGCTGTGCACTGTGGTGGTCACATGTAACCAATGCAAGTTAAACTGTGTTGTAAGGTAAGTGTAAAATGCTGGACTTTACCAGGTATTTTTAAAATGGAAATACCTCATTAGCTTTAATTTTGATTTTATGTTGAAAATAAAGTTGCTTAACATTTTAAATATGAAAATTAATTTTACCTGTTTCTTTTTCCTCTTTTGGTGTCATTACTGGAAAACTTAAATTTCATTTCATGGCTTCCATTTTATTTCTGTTGGACAGCACTGGACTAGATGGCCAAATCTAAGTGTGGTTCCTGACTAGCACCATCAGCATCACCTGAGCACTTGTCAAAATGAAAATTCTGGAACCACATCCGGTATACTAGATCAAATACCTGGGTGGGAGCCCAGCAAGTTACCCCCAGTGTCCTAACTAGCCCTCTAGATGAGGCTGTCGCATGGAAAAATTTGAGAACCTACAATCTAGCTCTACGTCAGTGATTCTCAATTATGGCTGCATATTGGAATCACCTGTGGACACTTTTCAAGCTGTCAGTAAGTAGGGCCCCTGGATAACATTCAGTTAAGGGGTGAGCCCAAGCCCTGTGTATTTCCCAACTGACTCTATTATATCACCAAGGCTGAAAACGACTAGACACAGTGACCGAGCTGATCTTCAGGCCACGTTGGTACTAATGGATAATTACACAAAATTAAAAGGCAACTTGTTTGGGACAGAGAAAAAAAATACAGTTAATGATTCTTTAATGTTTTAATTTGAGAGCATTACTAATTTGTAATGTAACTTAGAGCTACATTTAGTAAGATAAAACTGGATCTTGTTCAAAGAGACACTATACAGTACTCACTTATCCAATTTTAGATCCTTTTTTTTTTTTAAAGATTTATTTATTTATGCATACAGAACTGGGGTACAGGCCAGAGATGCAGAGGGTGAGAGGCTTCACCAGAGACAGAGTGGGGAACAGAACAGGCAGATCGACGAAGTACACTGCTGAGGGGAGCAGTGGGCGGGTCAGGAGAGGTCTGCCACACCATGTGGTCACCTCCGGGGCAGGCGGGAGTCAAACTCATGCGGAAGCGGCTTTAGATTCTCAGTGCTGTGCTTTAACCCGCTGCACCACCAGGGAGGGCCTTAGATCCTTTTTATGCTATAATCAATAATGTTTTTAAGGACAACATCAAGGGTAAACTCTTTCTTGTTATGAAATTGAATTCAATATATATGTGGGCCCTGCCCACAGGAAACATGACAAACATGACGGTAGCCACGATGTGTTACAGATAGCCCCTAGATTAACCTGTACTAAAGTGACAACCTATGGAACTGCTACATTTGAGATGCCAGGTAATTACTTCCCAAGCTTGAACCTACTTCAGATGTACAAGAATGCTACAAGGAGCATAAGACCCCCGAGTTCATGCCTCTGTAGTGAATGCTCTCAGGTTACTCAACATTGTGACCAAGTCAAAATGGAAACACAATGAATGAAGACTGGCAACTATTCTCTTTATATTATCATTTTAAAATACCAGAGGAATCAGTAAGTATTCACTGAATACGTAAAAGAATCTGTTGATCAAACCTACTACTCCATCCTACACCTCTCCTGCACAGTAACAAAGCTTGCTGGCACCACTGTCCAAAGGCCCACAGTGGTAGAGGGCTGAGTCACAGGCCATCTTGTAGGACCCAGGGGAAGAATGTGTGAACAGAAGAGGATCAGTATTATTTTACCTAACACTGTCACAAGTAAGGGATGTGAGAACTCCAAACTGGCCCCTGACTTCTACCCTGCCTCTGTATTTTGGATGACACCTGTCATCCTAAATGACCGGTCCTTCACTCAAAAGTAATGTGCTCCTGGGCCTCTATGTAGCCTACTTCCCCCATCTGGAATGTTCCTTATTTGTCCACATTCCTACCGGTCCATCATGAGTCTGAGTGCGCGGCATCTAATCTCAGTAAGGTCAGCGGGTCTCAAAGAGCACTTGCTGAATGAATATGGTCTCCTAATCATTTCAAAGAGTGCCAGCCACTTCCTTTTCACCAGTGCCAATAAAAGAGGTCACTATTAAGACTATACCAAACTATTTTAATTACTTACATCATCTGTTCTCAAAGTGTAGCCCAGCTGAGGGGGGCTGAGAGAAGAAAGGTGTCTCTCTGACCATTTCAGATTGTTCATGTTCATGAACTCAAAACCAAGATGTTATTTATCTTTTAATGTTCATTCTTTTATATGTACAGTGGAATCTTCCAAAAAAGTTATCACTCAGCTAATGAAACTGCATTTTAAGCTTTTGCCTTACTTTCTGGTATAGTAAATATCATAGCTGTAACTCACATAAATAAAAGCTCTTTGGAGTCCTCAGTAATTTGTATAAGGGCTCCTATGACCAAAATGTTTGAGACCTGCTGTTACATGTTCTCTCACTGGGCTATGGTCTCCTAATGTATCTCAGTCAGTGTATTCCTAGCACCTTGCGCAATGTTTGCTGAATTAACTAAGAAAAATAGGCTCTCTTTGGGGAGGATAAAAGTAGTACCCCCAGATTTTCCCGTAGCATGAAAGCTCCCTCATGATTTCACAACTCCCTGTGTGGTGATCTTGCGCATAAGCAATCTTCTGCTGGTACTTCAGTTGCTTGGCACCCTGGCATTGAGGATACTGTGCCCAGAATAGCAGACACAAGCTATCCAACCACTGGCAAGAAAGAGTTTAGTTTCATCTTATTCCTTCCTCTGTCCAATCTGAGCATTCAAATGCAGGAAAATCCCACTGTATTCAATTTATTTTAGTTTACATAGCAGCCCTGTAATTGTGAATTTGATTACGACCCGGAATGGTTCATAAACTTTATATTTGTTAAGTCAAGACACCAGGTTAAATGCAAGCCTTTAGTTGTAGTGACTCCACTAAGGAATGCCCCTTTGAGAAGCCCTCTTGAGGGTCTAGTTGGCCTTCGTCTATAATTTTATAATTTATTCAACAAAAACGGCCTGATTTTTGCCTTCCATGTATCAGGCACTGTGCTCAGTGATGGTTAACTATAATCATGGTCTCAATCCAATTTGCTTGAAGCACTGAGAATATGCAGGAAAGGTGGGAAATGTAAATTAAGCCCCGTTCACAAATACTGATGAATAAATCCGATTAATAAGATGCAATGTAATGCAACATCTAGAAAACTCTTGTGCACACATACTAGCTACAGCAATTCTGTATGGGCTTTACTTTCATCTTATTCCTCCCTCCGTCCAATCTGAGCAGTCAAATGAAGGAAAATCAACAGCTAGGCTGTCATTAATACTGCCTCTTCCAGAGTGGCACACCTAGCAACCAGGCTCCCTTCGCCTGACCCTGCAATGGGGATGCTAACTGTTCCCCTCGCCTCTCCCCTATCCTTTTACTTCTTCCCATCATGCTCCTGTACCCATATCCCCTTTCCTGAGCCACAGTCGCTTCCCTCCCTCCCACCGCACTTATTTACTCCATGTTCCTAAGAAAGCTGCATAAGCACCCTTGCTTACAGAAACAGAGGCCCTTGGAAGTAAGAATTAGGAAAGTTGCCCTCGGCGCAATAAACAACAGGCCCTCGCAGATCTAACTTCCCAAGCGAGACGGGGGCAATACCACAACAGCAGGGGCTCCGGGAGGCAAAGCTTTATACCCAGCGGGGCGTCGTCTCTTTCCAACTGCCTCATCGTCTTTCTGACTACGTGCTGTCCTGCTCTTCCAGTGACTGGCTCCATCTCATTCCATCAGATCTCGACTTAAATGTCACCTTTCGGGGAGGCCTTCGTGGGCACCGATCTAAAGGAGACCTGCTCCGGTATTCTCAGGACCACTTCCGTGTCTTGGCGGCCTGTGCCCTCATTAGAGCAACTGGGGTTACCCGAGGAGCGTGGCCCGCCGCTGGACCCCCCGCACCGGGAAGCAGCCGGCTCGCGGCCGGCGCTGGGGCCGCCTGAATGAATGGGTGGACGAGAGCGGGCGACGGTCGCCAAGCCCGGCGCGACCCCCGGCGCCGCCTCCCGCGCTCCCGGGCCCGCCTCACCCGTCCCCCGGCACCTCCCGCAGCTTCAGCCCCAGGGCCTGCAGCTGGTTGGCAAAGCTGACAAACTCCTCCTCGCAGCCGCCGCCGCCGCCGGACTCCGGTCGGTTCCGCCGCTCCTTGGCCAGGGCCCGGCGAGCCGCCCGCTCGTCCCGCTTGCGCTCGGTATCCGCTTTCCCGCGGCCGCTGCCGGGCCGGCCCTTCGCCGCCTGCTTTCGGGACATGGCTTTGGCCCCGCGGCCCGCAGCAGCAGAACAAAAAGCCGCAGGACCGCCGGGCCGTCGCCTCGGGGGCGGAGAAGGTGAAGCGGCGCGCGCGACGGAACCCGGCGACGGCGACGCGGCCAGCGCGCCTGCGCCAGTGCGGGGCGGCAGGGTCACGTGACGGAGCCCCGCCCCCTCCGTGCGGCTCTAAGGGCAAGTGCCATAGAGAGGCCGCTGGGAGAGCTAGAGGGGCAGCCCTCCTGGGTTGCTCGGCGCTTCCCCTAGCGGTGGGTGGGCTCTAAACGAGAAGCCGAAGGACCTGGAGGACAAAGCTGGAAAAGGTCAAGGGGAGAATGGGGTGGAGAGAAGAGTAGGTAACAAAAGCCCTGGCAAAAGTTAAGAAGAAAGGAAACCAAAGAACTCTAGTTCGTGAGCCTATAGTTGGGATCGGCACTGTCACATGGTCTGGTCCAGTTTAATTATATCAAGTTACAGGCAACAATTTCGAGATTATACACCCAGAAAGCAGAGCTTTCCCCAGGTCTCAGAGCCAACAGTTCGTTGCTTTGGTTTTCTTTTTAACTTTGAGTCGTACCCTTACCCACTCCTCTACCATCCTAACTCAAGGAAGAGGTAGTCCTTGTCCAAAACAGTTCAACTATAGGGTGGCCACCCTAGCTTAGCCTGGACTGAGGGTTTTCTGTGGCATGGGACTTTCCATTTAAAAATGGGTTAGTCTCAGGCACCAGGATAGTTGGTCACCCCAAACCACACTCTTCTACTCTGGAAGCGACCTCTATTGGCATCCCCCGGCCCCCGGCCCCCTCATCCTAACTCCTCCTAACAATCTGTGCTCCCACCACGATGATTCTGTTTCTCCTCCTAGCCGCTAACCAAGCTCCTTTATCATCCCTGGGAACGCTCTGAATGTTTCTCCCCTTAATGATTCTATTTTCTCACTCTCCCTACAACTTTCCGTTTGGCGGTAGGTTTAAACTATTATCTGTATCTTTGATCTATCTATAGCTCATTTCAATCCCTGTGGTAACGGGGCATAACAGTGAAGCAGAAAAATATAGAGATTAAGCTCAAGAAGCCCAGATCGGGAAGCTCACAGCAATTACATTAAACACCTGGCAAATCCTATCAAGGAAGAGGGTGCATTGGGGATGAGGGTTATCATAGCCAACAAAGGCTTCTCAGAAGATCTGAGTTCTAAGCTAAAGCTAGAAGCAGGACTTGGCCAGAATAAGAAAGTTCCTAGCAAAGGGCCTCAGGCAGAAAACAGAGAAGACTAACCTCCAGCCCATTCTCAAAGTGATTTTAGTCCAAGTCTAGAGGCCCGGGAGGATTTTAATGGAAAAACTAATGTGATGGGTTTATGTTTAAAAATACACCTCTGGCTATATGGGGAGGATGAGTGAATAGGGGGTGCCACATAGGAGGTTCCCAGAGATACCCCAAGATAGTTGATAGTGATGGCTGGGGCTGGGGTGGAGGGAAAGAGAAGTAGATTAGAAGGTAGATTCACATGCTAGTTAAAGTTTATGAGATGGAAGTGGATTGAATTGTTGGAGAATGTTTCAGAAGCTGCTCCGAAGTTCTTGAAATTCCTCCTCTACAGATCTTTGCTTCACACTCAAGAAGGAAGAGTGTGACCTGTGCCTGAGCCCACCTTTCCTCGCACAGACATTCCCAGGCCTGCGATGCCCCTTGCTTGTATTTAGTTAAGTTGGAAGGCAGTGCTAGGAACGGGAAATCCCCTTGTCGGGAAGGCAGAGACCCAGGTTCTAGTCCAAGTATGTCTCTCACTGACTGCCTGCTTTGGGGTAAGTAGCTTAACTTTCCCAATCTCCTTTTCATAATCCATAAAATGAGACTAACAGTAGCAAAGACCAGCTGCAATAGTAATGATAATGACAAGTGTCTATTATGTGTATTGTGTACCAGACACTATTCTATGTAATTGTCTTAAAAATATTTTCTAACTTAATCATTCCAAAAACCTAATGATAGATAGATAGATATACTATTTTTAATCTCTTTAGAGAAGACTTGAGGCACAGACAAGATAATTTGCCCAAAGTCACACAGCTAAGCCCAGATTTGCAGCCAGATCATCTGACTCCAGAGAACATGTTCTAAATGCTGTATCACATCACACATCTAACTTTTTATCAAATGCACATGAACTTAATTCATTTTAACTCTCTCACACTTTCCACATTGGTCGCCGATTCAGTCTTTCTAACATCTCTATCGTCACAAATCACTATTGTAACTTTCTCTGTGTTACAGCAGACCTCAGACTTAGAGCCCTGGGTTTGAGCCTGGGTGTCATCCCTGGTTTCACTTTGGATGAGTCATTTAGCTTCAGAATTCCAGTTTTCTCTTCTGTAAAATGATCAGCGTAATGTACAAATGAAGACTCAAATGTAAGGCCCTGGGCCCACAGTTAAATACCAGCTTGGTGACGCTGTTTATATCATCCTAGTTGTGGGAAGCTAGTGGGCTTGGACAGACTGATGTTGCAGGAAAGGGATTTGTCACTACAAAACTCAGAAATGCAAACACTGGCCCTTTTTGTAAAAAAATATTTTCTTGCATAAGCCCTTGACCTTTCAGCCCTTGCATAGCATCTTGAACAAGCCAGTTTCTCTTCTCTCAGCAGAGGCCGCCTCGTAGACAATGTCTCCCTTGGAGAACCAGTCAATACTGCTCATAAATTAAATCTAAAGGCCACAGGGAGGGAGTACTTATAAATGACCTGAATGCTTTACCAGCTTCATCAACATTAATTAAAAGGACTATCAGGCCTGGTTGGGGGCATTTTCTACAGATTAGTAAAAAAGCATAATTAGACCCTCCCTGGTGGCACAAAGGGTTAGGACACAGCACTGCAAGCCGGCCACAGCCACTTCAGTGTGAGTTTGATCTCCAGCCCCAGAGGTGATCCACATGGCGTAGCTGACCTCTCCTGTCTCAACCACTGCTTCTCTCAGCAGGGTACTTCCTCGATCTGCCTGCTCTGTTCCCCACTCTGTCTCTGATGAAGCCTCTCACCGCCCCTGCACCTCTGGCTTGTACCCCAGTTCTGTATGCATAAATAAGTAAATCTTTAAAATAATAATAATAATAACTAGTAGAATTTTCTGCCGCAGGGCAGGGGGAAACGAGGGTCTCACCCACTGCCACTGGCAACCTGGGCAGTCTCTGGCAATGTGTTAAATGTCTGGTACCCAGGAACACCACATCTCATTCCCCAGCCTCAAACGAATCTTGCAGGCAGGTACTAGATACCGAAGGATACCGAAGGCACAATGGGCTTAAGGCAAAAGCAACAATCTAAGTAGCCACCATTAGGAAAATATCTTCCTGAATCATGAAACAGCTACTTATGAAATGTTGCACAGTAGTTAAAGAGGATAAGATGGAAGGGGAGTGAAGTAGGGAGAGGTGAACTCACCTGGCCTGCTCTGCTAGCCGTGGTCATAGGAAAACTCCTGTGCCCAGGTGATCCACTTCCTGTGGCATTTATGTAAAATGGCAACAGTATGACACAAACTGGAAGAGCTGTTTTCAGGTACATATGTGTGCTTCAGTAGGTAGACAACAGCCTAGAAAAATAAACACCACGTTGATAAAGAATGAGGAAGAAGAAAAGAAACTGGCCTTCTATGTAATGTATTTTTTTAAGGAGGCAAGGTAATTATGTATTATATATACAATTAAAATTAATATTTAAAAGAGTAATTTTTTTTTTATTTCTCCATCCAAGAACTGGGGTGTAGGCCAGAGGTCTGGGGGCAGGGGGTGAAAAGATTTCACAAAGACAGAGCAGGGAGCAGAACAGGTGGATTGCTGAAATACACTGCAGAGGGGAGCAGCAGGCAGGTCAGGAGAGGTCTGCTGTGCCCTGTGGGTCAGCTCCCTAGCCAGGGATTGAACTCTTGATAGCCTCATAGTGCTGAGACTTAACCCCTTGCGCCACCAGAGAGGCCTAGTCGTAAAACTTTTACCAGACTAACAAAACTGAATCTTTTGCTCAAATCAAAAGCCACTGCAGTTATCCTGGAGATCTGCCTGGTCAGCTAACACAAATCTATACTAAATACACTGTCTTTCCTGAGAAGTGGGTATTTCCAGGATCTTTAAGAATTCTCAGCTCTCCTACCTCGCTCACCTTGACACCCTCAGATAATCTCGTTTTATTGCTAATTTGTTCTACCTGTGAGGACACAGCTCTCTAATTAACACCAAATTCCAAGCCACTCATATACAAACTGACAATATGTAGACAAAACTACAACGAATATTCCATCACACTGTTGATGAGCATAAGGGATGTAAACGGACATCCCCTCAGGACAAAGAGCTTCACCTCTACCTACACCCACTGCCAGGGAACTGGCCTGGGTGGGTCCTCTGTCCAGGTGGCTGGCTGGCAGCATCTCTGACATGGACAAGTTCAGGGTGAAGTCTCTGGTACCAAGATTAGCCTCTAATAGCACTCATACCTAATGCGGTGAAAGCACAGGGCTGTTTATCTCCTGCACCGCCCTGTGGCAACTCGCAGGAAGAATGCTACTCAACAGGTCTCCCCGCCCTGTTCCCACCACGCGGTGTTTGCGCACCTGCTGTGTCCCTGTGTTTGCACAGGCACGCGCACATGTGGGCTCCGCCACTCCTGCGTCTCTTTGCTCCTTCGTGGCTCTGCTCTGGGTGACAGATGGTCCCACCACACTCTGCTGGGTATCTGCCCCACTTTCCAGGCAAGCTCCTTCCTCCGCGTCCGGTGCCTGACACCCCTTTTGCGTCACCTGTTTATATAGTGGAGCAAAAAGGAAAAGCCTTGGCATGCTCTGACTGGAGTGGGCCCAGGTCCGATTCCGTGGCTCACAACAGTGCCTGCATGCCTACTGCCCACAAGCCAAGCTCCCCGGTGCTCACCCGGAGGATGAGAACCCTCCGGGTTGCTCTGAATGACCTGACTCAGCATGCCCAAGGCAATGTTAGCATCCTGGCTTCTCAAACCAAGGCTTCTCTTTCTTTCTACCCATCACT